TTTTATAAATGTATTTATTGAGGACAGAATCATCCTTGAAAATAAACAACAATGTTCAAATTACATTACTTTATGTTTTTTTTAAATATCTCTAAAAAGTTTTAATTTTATTAAATTAATTTTCATGAATACGCGAAAATTTTTTTATTATTTATTAGTTACTCTTAGACATCGACAAACTAATAACAAAGTGAGATGAAAACGAGGTGTGGCTGAATCTTTCTTATAAAAAAAAACCTTGAGACTCTCTTGCAATTCCAATTTTTATCTGGATATATCATTCCGACAAAGAAGTATGAATGTGCTTAAATTATGCATTAGTATACATTCATGAAATCAAAGAAATAATTATATAGAGAAACCCTTTTCTGTCTCAAACAACAGATGTCTTTTTCAACCGGATTTAGTGAACTACAAAGTTCTGGATGTAAAAAATTTACAATAAAATTATTTCATTTGTAATTGAAAACTTAAAACCCTTGACTTTCTCACTTTGTCATTCTGTGGGAGCTTGTAGCTTTATTTTCTTTATAATAGATCATATTTACTTTTATTATTTTTGTTTTGTTTTGAATATGGTCACTTTCATCTGTAGCACAGGACATTGTTCAGAATGTTTGTGAACGTTTTCTTTACCACTAAACTGAAGTATTCTTATAAAATTGTATTTATACTGTAAAGAATCCTAGGTATTGCTTTAATACCCTGACATGAACGTCTTCAAATTCTCAGTATCCTCCTGTAAATATCAAACGTTGAATGAACGCTCATGTTTATAGCAGCTAATGTCAAATATTTTGTATCAAGCTTGAAAAGCATATAAAATAAATGAAGTCTTCCATGACTAATGAAGCATACGTAGAAAAAAATTTTAGTCTTCGAATAAGCTATTAAAAGAGAACGTTATGTCTTGAAAAATATCTTTACAAAATTGAAGTGAATTAAAATGTTATCACGCTCTTTATCGCACTTTCTTTTTACTAAACAACTATGAACATCAGCTATAGGAAACAAACTGTGTATCTCTATATATGATTACCAATAATGTCAATATCAACCGTCAGAAAAAGAAACTTAATCTGAAAGCATTTTCGAACATCTCAATAGGTTATGTTGGATTGTTGTCGACGAAAACTATTGATTTATGTATAAAACAACTCAAAAAAAGTTTGTAAGAGCTTAACATTCACAAAAAAATGTCAAAAGATAACAAAACGAAAATATGCTTGTAATGTAAAATGGTTCTTAGCAATATTGAATTGTATAAAGCTTGATGAGGTCAGCTAGAACTCTATAAGAACTATCAATTGTATATTATTACATGGTAGCTATAATTATTTATTTTACGCACTTCTATAATATGACGTCAATATGGTATGTTTATGTTGCCACAGTAAAGATCATCATATATGTTTGTTGAAGTATCTTAGCATTCTATCAGAATTGAGATGAATTCTTTTCCTGTTGTTATGAGCTGAGACAAATTCTTTTATCTTATATGTGTAGAAACAACATAAGAAAAAGAGTAGACTATATTATTCTTGTCTTTGACATCAATTGACCTAGTTTCTTATATTCAATGTTATTAATATAATTTTATTTCTATTACATATTTCATTATTCAAGTTTTTGTATCATTATCAATAAAAATATTTGCGTAAGATAGATGTATGTCTATTTTATAATTCAGCCCAAAATAGCGTTTGTTATTTCTACTTCATACGTTTCTCTCTGTTGTATCCCAATCTTCTGATAATTACACACAAAGATAAGAGTGAATGTTCCTAGTTTGATCTGCTTTTTTTTCTGTTTCTGTTCCCTTTCCTTATTCGTGCACATTTGCCATCGACATCTAAATAATGCATTCATGTTAAATAAATAATAATATGCATATATTTGAATTTACTTTCTAGGATTCAGTCTAACCATTCTTATTCAAACACTAATATTAAAGTCTAGTGTATTAAAAGTAACAGAAAAAAAAAGGAGAAGTCGAATAATATTGATATAATTAAATATACTTTCTTTTTTTGTGAATTTCGTCTGAAGCCACAGTTTTGAATTACAATTTGTAATATATTTCCTACATAGTAAATTTTAATATAGAATTATTCTGTATATATACAAACATCTTAAGCAAAAAAACGATAGTCTACAAAATAATCATTATTGTTTTGAATAGAAACTCATTTACAATTAAGTACTCATATAGTCAAGTTGAATCACTAAAAATGTATTGAAATCTTTTTGTTTTCTGCTATTTCCTCATTAGTGAAGTTATTAGTTCTTCTTTTTGTCAATAAAAGAACTATTTGCGCCGTTCTGCCTCTTTACATCAATTCAATTACATCCACATCAAATAAAGGCTTTTGCATTGTAAAAAGTAATTAATATGAAGTGAGAGACATTTTATATTTTACAAATGCCTAAGATGAAACCAATAGAATAAGATGTACTTGTGACCTGATAGTTATAAATAAACAAGAATACATTGTTAGGCTGAGTTTTCACCCATATTTCCTTAGTGTCAGAGAAAAGAAGATAAGAAAATGTTGACAACAAGAGAAAATAAAAATAGGTTGAGGTTACATCATGTTTTGAATTGTATGAAGAAAACATACATTACACTAATTGACAATAACAAGAAACAAAATGCACTTTCCTTTCATAATTTCAATTATTTATCTCCATGGTGTAAAGTAAAAGTTCAAATTATATTTAATTAATGAAAAATTTTGTTTGCATTAAGCATATTAGGTTGCGTAGGCTCCACCATTTGATATAATATTCTATTATAGATTAGTCGAAAATAGTTTTAGCTTAAAGAAAAAACTACTTATGTAATTGTCTATTAAATAAAAGTACAAAATGATTATCAAAATAAATCAATTCAATTTCAAAATTATTATCTTCAGTCATGTCATTGAATATAGAACGTTTACAAAAACTTTACATCTGATCGACATTCATAATAAAACTATAAATTTCATAATGAATGAATTATTTTATTCAATAATCTTTTTTTTTTTGTTTATTTGAAAAGAAAATGATGGACGTCATGGAAAAGAATCAATAACATTTGTTAACATGGAGAGAACAAGCAATAAAATCAACTGTTAGTCGTTTATAGTTTCAAAACTAAATAGAAATTCAGCTTTTTCGTAAATTTCTTTCATATATTTATTTGACAACTTATCATTATTAAATCACAAATTATCTTTGACAATTTATGAATGTTTGCCAATAGATCAATGAAATTTAAGAGAAAAACACAAAACAAAATAACTAATCAAAAGAAAAAAGTGCTCAAAATAAATTAATTACTTGTTTTTCTTTTATATTATTTAAAATCTAATAGGTAATTAGTTTTATCAAAATTTTACATGGAATAAAGAATATTTTACAATCGCTCACACTATAGAAAAGAAAAATACTTCTGATTTCATAAGAAAATTACTTTTTTTTTTTAATTATCACACGATGATCGAAAGACATACAAATAATATAAATACTATAACTGTTATCAATATGGATCTTCATAAAACTGTTTCTTTCTTACTAATAAGAACTTTTATAGTTTCTCATTCGATTGATAGCATGAAATTTAAAGTGGATCAAAAATGGATCTATCTTACATTCTGTTATTTATATCCAAACAATTGTTAAGACACTTCTCGTCATCTTTCATTTGTGTCAACACTCAAGTGTATGTTTTTCTCAACTTGTTACTATGTATGTCATTGAAAAAGAAGTGCAAAGTACATTATATTTTCAATCAGAGCTAAAAATATATTCTCATTTGTTATGTATACGTTTCAAGAAGGCATAGAATCTATAAACAAACATTATATTATTCTTCTTGATAGAATTAATAACATATTAAAAATCATATTGATGAGTAACAGTGTTTGACAGAGTGTTAATACTCGCTCAAGGTAAAAAAAATGATATGATTCTTTATGCTTTTTCTCTTTTCCCATATACTTTGATGAAATACGTGTATGTTCTATTTTGATGACACTTGGAATGTACTTTTCTGTACTAGAAAAACATCGAAACGCCTTTGCATACATAAAAGAATCAAAGTACAAAGTACGTTCTTTTTTCCTTTGGCTCGTATATAAAAAAAAAGATAGTAAACAACATTAAAAAAAGATACATGATTTAATATAATAAATGTTTATATAAATGAACCATTTTTCTTTATCTTAACCACATAATTTTTATATAGTTATGTTACGCAACATCTTCTCTATCCACGTTTGAGTTTTTCAATCATGATTTCAAAAGAAACTTTACATAGAAAGGAATTAGTGGGTTTTTCGATTGATGAATAAATGATTAATATGCATATTTCCAACCAAAAATATCATGTGAGAAGGTCGTTCGAAATGTAATACTTTTTTTTTCTATTAAGATTCAATCATGCCGGATTTTTATTTGCCTATTAATGCAATATAAAGAATTCAAACATCTACAAAGTTTATTTTCTATCGTGGATTCATAAGAATAAATACACCCAAAAACGTCCACATTTTTTTCTTTTATGAATTTATTCCACATCAATCAATAACAATAGAATTGTGACTAACTCTGAGATTTCACTCTGAGAAAATTGAATTGAAATCCTTAAAGTTCAAAATATATTAATATAAAGGAAAAAGAAACATTTCATTAAATCAAAATGCTACGTACAACCTTTTTTTTTTGTCTTTTTTTTTATTTTGTTCATCATTGGAAATAAGCATAAAAAAACAAAAAAATATATATATATATAAATAATATACCACTTATATTTTTTTCATCATCAACATCAAAACGATGCGGAGTTAATGGACATAATGACAATACAGTAAAAATTTGACAACAACAAAAAAAAACATGTTCTATATTGAGAATTAATTACGGCGTTGAGATCATCGAAAATTGAAATGGATAATTGGTGTTTTTTTTTTATGCTAAAAATAGTAAAATTATTTTTGACACTAACAATATATCTTTTATTTACCTTCTAATACACGAGATCCAACATTTTTTTCATACGATTCATTGAGAGGAACTAATAGATCTAGTACCTGAAAAAAACAAAATTTCTTATATATTTAACATCAATAAAAAAAAAAAAATTCTAAACAAACCTGTAAAATTTTACTACATAATATTTTTCCTTCTTGTGCACCACGGTTTTGACATAATTCTTGATAAAGAGCACAAAGATAAGAATATCGTAAAACTCGTTGAATGTCTTCATCTTCTGTAGTTGAATCTAATAAAAGAAAAATAGATTTTAATTAATTTTAACAATATTTATTATAAAATTTCACCTGTATAGCACATTTGTAAAGGTATTACAAGACTAATTTCACTGTCAGTTAAATTAAGATTACGAAAACATTGACTAAATTTAAACATTGCATCGGTCATTTCAACTCCATATAATATATCCATCCAATGACGTGTATATTGAAAACCATCAGGAGATAGAATATAACCTTGACCATTGTCATTTAATAAACTACCATATTTAAGCTTAAATTTAATAATAAACAAGCATAAAATATTTTATATTATATAAAATTAAATATTTACCATATACCAATCAAATGATCGATGAAGAATCATTTTATGTAAATTAGCTGAACCCATATTAGCCATACCGGGTAACTAAAATTAAACACATAAAAATAGAAAATTATTGTTTTTTTTTGTTTAAATATAAATTCCTACTTCTTGAATGTAAAAAACAGATGAACGAACGACAACTTCTACAGTTTCTAAGAACAAACAAAAACAAAAAATTTTTAAATTTCCTTCGCTTTTTATTTATAATAGATATACTTGGAACAGTAGCAAAAAATTGTTCAACTGTTGCATTATCACCTGGATATTCAGTAATACCATTATAAATCATTTGATTCATTCGTGTTTCTAATTGTTTAACACGTTTTGAATGTCGAAGATAAATATTATATGATGACCAACGAAGAAATCTAATATGAAATAACAAAAAAAGAAAAAGAATTAGTTTTTTTTTGTTTTTACAATCAAAAGAAATATTTTCTTTTTACTTTGTAAATGTTAATTCATCATCCGTTAATTGAACAAGTAATGTTGATTTATTCTGACTTAGTTTATTTGATATGCTGAGGACATGTGTAAATAATTCATTAGTTAAAACACCTGTTGAATGTTCAACTAAACCATCAGTTTCATCTAATGTAAAATCATTGGGTAAATATGTTGGATATTTTGTTCGATATATAAATGATGGATTTTTATTATAATTATAATTTAAAGTTGAATTAATATCATCTTCAGATAGATTTGTTTGTACTAGTGAATGATTTATTATTCGATCATTGTATAATATAGAATTAGTCTGAGAGAAATTTTCGTTATTATTATTATTATTTGGATAGATTTTAAATGGTATACAATTTTGTCGGATAGCTGTTTTTTGTGCATCCATCATATCTAGGTAAGGAAAAAACAAGGCATATATTTATTTTATTGACAGAAGTATGTTTTTCTTTTTTTCAGTTGATCAAATTCACAAGAGACTTAATGATAATATTTATTTCAGAGATTTTTTTTATTGCATATTATAAATAGACTAATGATATTAAGCTGTCTGTACGTCATAGATAATTTTAGTCAATATAAGAAAAAACTATGAGATGAAGATTATTTTTCATTTCTCATTGAGAAACAAATGCCTCATAATTTATTGTCTTATAAATATTGAAATAATATCTCATTGAAAATTAGTATGAAAAAACACAAGGTTATGAGTACCGAGTTTTCCTTCAATAAGTGCATTGTTTTCTCAAAATGACATGACTGTTGTTCATAAATGTGTCTTTCATAAGAAAAAAAAAAGTGATCTACTTATATAAATAGATCTCATTTGCTCTCAATAAATATGTTAATTTTAAAAAAAGTAATCTAGAAATTATCTCACCTGTATCCATTGCATTTGGATCATAATTTTCAATACTACTACGATCAGATAATGATGAACATGATGATTCTGGAATATGTACTTCATCAGCTCTTTCATTAGATTCTGTTGATGCCGCTTCCTGTCTCATTTGTTGTTCTTTTTGTTCGAGTAATGCTCTTTCTTTGACCAATTTTGGTATTCGTCCCATTTTGACACCTACATTTATAATTGAAAAAAAAAATTTTTTTTAATCAAAAATATTTAAAATATGCATTTTTGTTTTTACCATCTACGGACATGCCCTTGTCTATACATCGTTGAAATCGACATGCTTTGCAACGATTGCGATTGGTTACATTAACAAGACATGAATTATCAAAATAACATCGATATTTTTCTTTACGAAGAATGCTTCGTTTGAAAAAACCCTGACAAAAAAAAGAAAACAAATAAAATATATTAATCATTCAAGCGTAAAGATCATCATGTTCTTATATAAAATAACAAGAATGTCTCGAACAAATTATCTTTTAATTAAAAATATAGAATTTAAAAAGTTTCTTTTATTTCATAAATAATTAAATAAAAATGACAAGACGGACTTTAAATCAAAAATTTTTTAATATTAATCCTTATATTTATAGTAACTAATGTACTTGTCAACAATAATAAAACAATAAGGGGAAAAGAAGTTTTTTTTCTTCCTTACTTTACATCCTTCACATGTGGCAATTCCATAATGAATTCCAGTAGCTGAATCAGAACATACACGACTAAAATAAAATTTAAAAAATAAAATAGAAGAAATATAAATATAAATTAATAAATAAATTCATACCAAGCTCCAAAAGGAAATGTTAATCGTGCTCGTTTTGGTTTTATTGTAGTTGTTGGTGTATTTGATGGAGATATTGATGATTCGATATTTTCCATTTTGCTTATATCATCATCATTACCAATTTGACAAATTATGTCACTCTCAGTCATTATGAAGAGAGAAAATTATAGGAATAATTTATATAACTGTAAATATGCGAATGTAATCTAAAATATAATAATAATTGATATACATTTCATTGTTTTTTGTATTAATAGAAGCATTGATCATGTGTATAGCTAAAGATAAGTTTGATTAAAACTTACACACACACACCAAGTCTTCCTTTCAACACATAAAACGAGCAAATGATAAAGAAAAGTTCTCATTCATAAAAGTACATTAATGTAGGTCAAGTTAAGCGTCCTTTATTTTTTTTGTATTACGTCTGTAGACTGACATCAGTATGCGAGAAAAGCGACAGACAGAAACAGAAAAGAAGAACGAAGAAAAGAAATAGAAAGTAATGCAGAAGGCGAAGAAATATGGTTATATAATGAGCTTGGCAAGGACAGCCACCAATAATAACAAAGTACCGATCTGTTCTATATCGTCGCGATCTCGTCATTCAATAATGTTCGTTCTAATTTAAATCCTTTTTTTTTCGTTAGGGTTTTTTTTTCTATTGGATTGTAACATTAGTTCTGCAAATTTTGTTGTTAATGAACAAATTTATTTTACGACAAAGATATGCAACATCAATCAGCAATACAGTTGCCATTATTTTCGAAACTTGGGCCCATCTTGCTAGCAATTGTTCAATCAGATATTTGCAGAAACTAGCTGGTTATGATTCGAAAAAGACAGTGAAATTTTGTTGGTTGACAAAAAAATCTGCAGAACTTATGTTACAATCTAATATAAAACTCTTTCTAACGGAAACAATTTTTTCCTATGACTATCAACATAAAGACAGAGTTTGAATTTTTTGTTTTTATAACTAGCAAGAACGAAAAGAAATGTACTAATAGAAAAAATTGTCTCAAACTGCTCATGATCACTCTGATTAATGTAAAAGAAAAATCATATATAGCCAGAGGATCATATGAATGTTATTGCCCTATTTCACAATTAAGTAAGCAATCGTCAAGGTAAATTTATCGAACGTCGAATAGTCTACAGAAAAAAAAGGAGAAGGAAAAAACTAACCAATGCGCAAGAGAAAGCGATAGGACAGTAGAAGAGCGGAATAGGAACAACAGACATCGTAAAAAAGTAAGAATGAGCACGAATCAGAAAGAGAACGAAAGAAAAAAAGGGGGTCATATAAGGACGTTAAGGCCATTCAAATAAATGCCGTACTTCAGTTCTTCGGTACTTATAAACTTCTGCGTACACAAGAAAACCACGTGCTTTTTAATCATTTGCATCGGATGATGAAAGAAAAGGAAGGAAAACAAGCAAAACAAGAAAGAAAATACCAAATAAATTATTAGTAATCTTTTTAACTGCATGAAAATAAAAAATGTCAAAATGATTCACAATGTTCTCAAAATAAATAGAGAAAAAACAAACTTTGTAAGCAATAACAGCGACAGCATTCACTATTTACCAGGGCAAAAAAAGCCTAAATAAAGATAGATAATACTTTCAAGACACAAAAAGAAAAAATATAGAAACAAAAAAAAACTAGGGACCATTCTATTGTTATCCAATATGTTGTTTGGTGCCCGTTAAAATATTTACTTATGAATACATAAACATGATTTAACACACATACACACAAAAACATCCGACAACATAAAATAATTATACATAAACTCTAATATATACATTTCAGATTAAAGATGATGATAATGAAAGCGCAAGATAGATAGAAGTATAAAGCAGTCAAAACTATACGCCTACGTACTGACTTACTTCATAAGACAATCAGAAAAATACCAAAATACAAATACTTGACAGCTTGACAATATCTGCGAAAGAAAAATAAATGTATTTATCATCTTAAAATATTCATGTTTGAAATACAAAATTATGTAAACTATTTAATCCTATCAAATTTATCATATAAATTCGATTTTATTATACTCTATATGACATGTTTACTTATTTATTTTTCATAGTCATCTTCAAATATAAGAATATGTTGAGTAATATTATGTTAGTCATTGAAATTCTTATTTCTACGTCATATTCTATTTACAATTATTTTACTCATATGAAAATGAATATATATATAGAAGAAAAGTTATTCATCATATATTAATATCATTTAACAAAACTTTTTCAGTTGAATACAACTATTATAACGTCATAATTGGAAACAGTTAAAGTAGTTTTTTTTTGTTTTTTGTGAGTGAATTATTCAGCAACTTAACGAGCAATTTTTATCGATGTAATCTTACCTTTATATACAATGATAAAAAAAAAGTACAAATGATAGGGAACAAAATTACCTATCAAGGAACAAACTTTTAGGTCATAAAAACTTATGAATAAACATAGCAAAGTAAGTCACCTTCTATAATATGACATTGTTTATGCTACTTCTGGCAATATGTGATTACTAGTATCGCTTTGCTCTATAAAGAACACAATTTATTACTAAAATATAACCAAGAGAATGATTGGTTTTTTTCTCTCTTTCTGTATTTCCTATTAAATATAAAATGTGAAACATTAGTAAAAATAATCTAACATATAACATGAATTTTATTATCAACTGATGTTGAATAATTATAAGAGACTTATTCATTGAGTGTATAAATCATGATTTATAAAGAGATGATATAGAATATTTTTCTCTGGAGATATAAGCAAGAAAATAAACAAAAATCATATTGCTTTATAGCTAAAATTAATCAGATTATAAATATTTATTATTAACTAATGTTGGTTTTATGCCGTTGACTTAAATATTCTTTCAATATTAATCATAAGAAAATCTTCATGTTTGTCCTTGCTTCATTTTTCTACCATAAAAATCAGATTCAAATCAAATGCTTTGATTAACTCACCGAAATATTTGACAGGGTTAATATTTCACAACATACATGATACAAATATGTATTCTTTTCATGAGCTTACCTGTATATATGATCAATTAGCTTTATACATAAATGAAAGACAAAGTACTTGCGTCCTTGACAATACACAAAACATATCTATGTTAATATTTCTATCCTCTTAAATATCTTATTAATACGAGAAAAGCTACAAAATAAATAATAGTTTTTTATCGATTATTAATAATTGCAATGAAATATCAATATCATCGTTGATTTTTTGAGAAGAAAAAACTAATCTTTTTTTTTTTTTCTTTTATGAAATTTTATTGTGTACACTATGATTGAATAAGTCAAATAAAGTATATCATTGGTACGCTTTGTTATCAGAACAACAAAGGAAATAATGAATGAAATAGTGAAACGAACAAAGAAAGAAAGAGAGAAAAAAAAGAAGGGCGAAAAAAAAACAGAGGCACATTCACATTAATTCATTTTGTTACATACACACGGTGGTGAAAAAAAACGAAATGCAAGAAAATCATGTCTTGTCTTATCTGTGTTTTACACACAGGCACATACACATAAACATAGCTTTGTCTTAACTTATTTTTCTCATATTTGCGACAATAAAACGAACGAGAGAAAGAAACAAAAAAAAGAATACAATTTTTAAGATATCATGCATGTTTATAAGATTGTTTTTTTTTTGTCATTCGGAAAGCGGATCGATGTTACTTTTAGTTTTTTTTCGTGAGTAAAAAAGAGAAGAAAAGGAGAGAAGATTATTATTGAATTTCTACAGACAAACAGATATGATAAGAAATATAAAGCGACACAAAGAAAAAAAACTGCACACATACATAAACATGCACACATACGTGTGCACACACACAAAAAAAAAGAATCCGAGAATTTAATTGTTTTGCATTAAATATTTTTAAAGATATAGATAAGGAAGAAAAGAAACAGAATCGATGATCTTAATGCTTTATTTGTTTATAATTCATTCGTTATTGCAATTTAATTTGTTTGCTTTGTTTTTCTTTTTTTTTCAAATTCAGGACGGGAAATTGACGATAATAGAATTCAAAAAATACGCACACACACTGTTTTACAAATAGCACTACTTTCTTTTTCTTTTTTTTTTGTTTTTTCAAACGAAACAGAGTAACATATTCTTCTTCTTCTTTTTTTTTGTAAGGGAATGTTTTCGCGTCCCATCACTGCGAAAAAAAAAAGAAATAAGTTGGTAACTATGTACACTGTTACACGACACAAAGAAATAGAAATAATCAAAAGAAATTTGAAACAAAAAAAAAAAAAGAAGAAACAAAAAGACAAAGTAGTGCAAATAAAACACTGAGTTTTCTTTTTTTTTGTTTTGTTTTGTTATATTAATCAATAAATCTTTTATATGTGTGTCTGTATGTGTGTGTGCATACATATCATTGCACTGTTGTGAATAAAATACACTAATATGAGGAAAAGATTTTTTTTTGTATAGAAGAAACAATAAGCAAAGGTAAAGAGAAAAAGAGAGAGAGCTAACAGCACCTCTATTGCACCCCGATTGCGCGCATCAAAGAGGAGACCATAGAGATATATAAAGATTGAAATATATTTATATGTATACGTATATATATGATATATACAGAAGATCAATTGTGGACGAGACGAAGAAAAAAGTGTTGGTTTTTATGTTTTTTCAGCAGATTGCGACAAGAAGAGATACAATTACACGAGAACACACATACACACACATTGAATTGATCTATTGAGATAAAAACAAGAGAGCGAGAGAAATAGACAACAACAACAAAAAAAAATTGATCTAGCATTGTAGATAGAATAGATTAATGAGCATAGATTAGAAATTACAGAATATTCATCATTGTTTTGTTTTGAATTAAGCAAAATACATGACTTGAGCCGAATCAGGATGTACAGTTACTGCACGACTCAATTGAACTTGTTGTTGACCATTAGAATCACCATTTGATGATTGATGAGAACCTTCATTACTAGAATATACAAGAAAAAAAAAAGATGTTTTTTTTTTTTTGTTTTGATAAAATTAACCTTTCAGGTTCTCTTTCAATTAAATGATATCGTGCACGAAATGCAACAAGATGAGCATAATAAGCTGGTGCTGGTATTGA